TTCACACTGATGTCCCTTTGCACACCACAGAGGCAGTGCTCCAGAGGGAAAGAAAAAAAAAATCTATTTGCATCCAATCGACTGAGCTCTTTAAGTGCTGAAACTAGTAGACCAAATGAGTTTATTAGATTATCATTGCGGAAGTTAATAAAGAATTAATTTCTCTTCATGTGACATCCAAAGGCAGTTATTTCAGTGGCCTGTCCATTTACACAAAGCCAAGTATTTGTCAAGTGTCAAACTCAATTCCCATGACCCAGGCCTCCTCAATAATTCTGGATTAGGAATACCCTTAAATGACATTACAAAAATTTTATTCCAAGATGCATTGAACTCCTGGGACTACTCAGGAATTTCAGGTTAGTGAAGGTTATGTAGTCAGCAAAAGCTTATTGGATATAAGATCTGGAATGGAAGGATAGGGTGTGCAATGTTTTTGTGAGGGTGGAAAGCAGCATGAAAGAAGAGAAAAAGCTGGTTTCCAAAAGGGGATCTTCTATTCTCTTTCTCTCCCCTGGAAATAATGCAGGGAAGGTTTATCTGCATTGCAAAGTAAGTGGCCAGTGTGATCTCCAGCACAGGAAATGCTGCAGTGCTGCTGTAGAAAGAACAGCGTGGGTGCCATGAGGGGGAGGAGGAGGGGGCAGAATTGAGCCATCAGTTGCTGCTCTGGGAATTCAGGGCTATAAAACATCTTCATTCAGAGAAGGAGTCGAGAGTTTTGCACATTCCCGGCTACCAAGTCAGACATAACATCAAAGAAAGAGGAATCTCTTTCATGTTTTCCTGTTCTCATTAGATTTAGACTAGAGATAAACTAGATGGAGACTAGAATAGGGATAGTCTGGATATAAGGATAATCAGAAGGTGGGGTGGAAGATATCCCAATAGATAGACTAGACACAAGGAAGTAATTTTTTTACAGTGAGCTCGGAGGAACAGCAGAACAGATTTCCCAGAGAGCTGTGGATGCCCTGTCCCTGGGAACATTCAAAGTCAGGTTGAATGGGGCTCTGAGCAGCCTGGTCTGGTGGAAGAACTGGCTGCTCACTGCAGGTGGGTTGGACTGGCTGACCCTTAAATGTCCCTTCCAACCCAAACTGGTCTATAATTCTGTGATTTACCTCTGATGACAGATACACAAAACACACAGGGTGGACACACTGTCTTCCTCTGAAGGGGAAATGGTGCAGGGTGGGACTTAGATTATAGGTAAAGAATGGTAAAGAGAAAAAAAATCTATTTGCATCACTTGAGCCATCAGAAAAAGAGAATCCCTGTGCATACATTGACTTTACTTTATTTCAAGGTTATATGAAAATAGAAAGCTAGATGGTAATCAGTAGGAAGAGGTGCCGAGCACTGAACCCCTCTGGTTGGGATAATGCACCTTTAAAATGTAAACAGACAGTCTCAAGCATTGTTTTAATCATTAGTAATTTTTTGTTTGAAGGAGTCACTCCATCATCCCTACAAATGAATTTCCCTCCCTCCCCTCCATCTCCTCCACTTCTCCTTATTGCCTTATTGTGAATGCTTCTACCCAACCTTCTGATTAATGCTGGAATAAATCTGCCTGAGAGTTGGGGTACAGGACCTTCAGCTGGAAATCTGTCCCTGTAAGTTTCTGCCTGTGGGGGAAACAAGGACCTGACCGTGTATTTCTTCTAATTCCACAGCTGTGTCTTTAGTGATGTATGGATGGCTGTGAGCAGAGCTTGGCTACAAGGGTGGGCACTTCCCATCCTTGTTCTTGGGAAATAACTGCCCAATAACTCACTGCAAAGCTTGTGTGGCTCTGAGAGTGAGACCTGGATTCATCTCACCCACCCTTATGGTCTGAAAAATGTCGAGAGTGCAATGTTTTTTGCTGCTGAGAAGTTAAGTGACTAATCCAAGCTTACAGTCTAGACTTCCTCAGCTGCCCTGGGAAAAAGGCAAGATTCTCCACAAACTGATTCATCTGCCCTAAAATGCTTGCCCCAGACAGAAAGGATGAATCCTCCCTCAGAGGTGGCCATTTCTGATCCTGATTACAGAAGAAACTGGAGCTGCCAACTTAGACAAGGTGTCCAGCCTGGACATGTTATGTGAGGTGAGTTGAACCTGCTCAAAGGAGCTTGGCCATGTGAGTGAGACTGACCTAAATCTTCCTTGTCAAAAACTTATGGTTTTTGTCACACGATGGTCTTAAGAAAAACAAAAAAAGAGAAAACACAGACACAACATTCATAAACATTTGAAATACAGGTTTAAATGACCACTCAAGTCTCACTTATTCATTAGTGTTGGGCTTAACCACGTGCATGTTTGTGATGAAAACTAAACATGTGTTCGATTGCTTTGATGAACTGTGACACTTTATAAATCCTATTGTTGGAGTCATTTCACCTTCAAAATTTAACCTGTTTGTATGATACACACCTCAAACTTCCCTCCCCAGGGGAAATCCCAGCCCATGAACCTTTTGGCAGCCCCTGAGCTCCCCCAGTTGTGACCCATGCATGGCAGGTCATGGCTCCATGCAGAGGGAGGGACGTGGGTGCCCTGGAGGTTCTGCCATGCCTGCTGTCCTTGGCAGCATCCCCTGGGCTGGGTGAGGAAAAGTTTGCACTTTCAAACCTGGATTGAGTTTAATCAGCTCAGCTCTGTGCCCCAAGCGCTGTGACATCACAGTGACACAAAGGGCAGGGTGGGGACACACATGTGATATGAAAACAAGGGTTTGGAATGGCAATGCTTTCTTTTCTATGGCTGGTTGTCTCTGGAAATGGGACTATTCTGGAGGCACATTTCCAAGACAGAAGTAGGGATCTGAGGTATAACCTTTTCCTTTCTCTCAGAGGAGTCTCAAGAGGTGATTTTGATTTAGAGTTTGTCCAGCTTCCTTATACTGAAAGCTCTTTAGTAATCTGCTTTTCCTTCTTTTCTTAGCAGAAAATCTTCTTGTCTTTTAATAGCCAATGAAGATGTTCAAGCAGAACAAATTCTGAAATTCCTCTCAGCCAGGAGCCTCCAGGATGAGAGTGTGGCTTGGAGTCTTGGGGCTGGAATTAGCCTCAGGGTTTGCTTTGTTGCTTTGGGCTACCAAAGCCCAGAGGTTGGGCAATAATTCTGGACACTGTTTGCAAGGACATTTGCATTGTCCACTAATGGTCACTGTGAGGTTCAGGAACAGGACTCTGTTGTTGGAGCATCTAAAACACCTATCTGGATAACCAGAGACAAAACCAATTCCACAGGACTTCATTTTTTGCTTCATTTTCCTTCCTTTTCATGCTGGTTCCTGCTGGATTTGAGCACTGCGTCCCTTGTCACCCTTCTCCAGCCTGGCAGGGCAGCAGGGAGGGGATGAGCTGGGAGCTGTCAGGACAGTGATGCACATGGGAGAAGGAGGGGCAGCTCGTGTTCCCAAGCCACAGAGCTGCCTGACACAGCTGGGCAGATGTTAAACTTTAACCAGCTGGGCTCAAACCCTCCCCAGGGCCAGCGAGTGCCTGCAGTGCCAAAGCGGAGTCGAGCAAGGAAGATGCTGAGCTGCTGGATGGTGTGTGGGTGAGAACAAGAAGGAGATGCTTTTCCATATCTCTCCCCCTATCCTGCTGTGATGTTGCCTGGTGGGACAGCAGGAGCCCCTGGAAGGGTTTCTGCCCCATCCTCCCTGCTTGTGTGTGGTGCAGAGCTTCCCTGGAGAATGGCTTTGTCCCCGGGTTGTTTCTCTCCCTCCTGTCTCTGGAAGCTACAGGACCCTGATGAATGACTCCCATATCCTGATCAAAAAGTCTCCCTAACAGTTTTAGTGTGTTTGTGTCCCCCTAGTTAAGATAAATTAGACAGGCTAATGAGACTGATTAGTCTTTAGCTGCGACCCTTGGCCTTTAGGATGTACTTTGAGCTAATAGAGAGAATGGGGATTATAGGCTGTGATAATGTGCTTGTGTTGGCCTTTTAAAGGAAAACACATTTATTGCTGCTTAGAGGAAATTGATCTAAGTGTGCTAGAAGCATTTCTATGGACTGAATATGGAATTTTTATTAAGTAGGTGACTCAGGTTCAGCCAAGATTGCCAGATTGGAAATGAGCAGGAGATATTTTAGGGAGATTCCACCTGCTGGCTGCCTCTCCGACTGATAGCAAGTTTCACTCATCCCAACTGTGATCTGCTGCTCTGCATGTCAGCTGTGGAGCTCTAGGAACTTGGACTGCAATCCCCAGGTCTACTGGCTCAGGTCCAAGCTAACAAATCATCAAAGACAACCAGTTGTGTTTTCATGTTTACTAAGAGTTCAACTCTTTGATTCCCTTCTCAGTCTGCAAAGCCAAATGGTTCTCTGAGTTATACTGGGATCCTGAGGCAAACAATGAACCATCACACAGCCAGTTCAGAGCACAGCAGGGTGCTCAGGGGCCCAATCCTGCCCTAAGGATAAGGTTTGATTCCATTGCCTAAAGCCTCACATTTTCTGCTTTGTGCACAATAGAAGCAGTTGTGCTCCTGAAAGTTTTCTCTGATAATATCAGCTGGACTTAAAATAATTACTTGCTCTTCCTGCAAGCCCTTATGGGCTCATGCTCTGGGTGGGTTTGTTCCTCCCTTCCAATACATTTGGAGAGTTTAACTGGTTTTCAGCAAGCTCTGACCAAGTACTGTTCCCACATCCCCTCTGACAAGTCCCCAGGTTTGGGTTTGGGTGGGTGAAACTGTAAAACACTTTGTGCATCCTCGCAAAGGATGATGCAAAATGCTGCTGCACCACCCCGGTGGTGTCCTGCCTCCACTTGCTCCAGGTACAAATGGCAGTGGGAACAGCAGGAAAACCAAGGCAAGGTCAACTCAAACATCACATCTCACTGGGGCTGGAGAGAGCAGGTCTGCAAGTCTTCTTACAGAGGAGGTGTCCAGCTGAGCTGCACTGTAGCCAGTGCCAGCCTGGGCTCCCAGCAGAAATGCCCTGCTTTGCATCTGGACCACAGCTGGTTTTTGTAAAAGCTGTTTGATTTACTTACAGCTCATCTCCACACTCCATTTGCTGACCCAGGCTGAGCTGGTTGCCTGGTGTTCCAAAGCTTCATCTCTCAGTCACTGGAAGGTGTTCTCTGTCCACCTGACTCTACAAGGAACCAAAGGGGATTGGGTGTGCAGACCCCTGGGCAGTCTCCTGCCACATCTGATGTCCCAATATGTTTTTCTCCAATTCAGTGGACTAAGCACCTGTTCTATAAAGCTCAGCAGCTCAAAGTGCACTTCCTGTCACGTAAAATCACAAAAGGGCTCTGCCAAGTTGCAGCTTGTAACCCAAATGAACCCATGCAAAAAATCAGATTTATTATATGCAGTGATATCCCCTCTGACATCACCCTGTCATTAATCAATGTGATCCTTGACACTTTCCATACACAAGCACCTCGCAGTAAATACTCTTATCAGTCTTTTACAGCCATCACAACTGAGGTCTGACTCAGACAAGGTCAATGTGGAGCCATGGGACTGGGAGCACTGGAGCTGCCACCGTCCCCACCTCTGCACCAGTCCCTCTTTTCTGAGAAGTGATACAGCTGATCAAAGGTTTCAGCCACAGCCCTGAGGTCCTGGAAGGGCTCTCCAGAAGTCACAAATCATTTTATGATGCTCTGTCACATGTTCTGTACTTGGCCACCTTTCCATGCAATGCTTTAGGATGCGGAGAAACCAGAGAGCAGATGTAGGAGAGGATCCTCAGCCAGCACCACACCAGCTGAGGTTTGGAGTGGAGCTCTGACCATTAACACCAGCTGACCTGGTGCTGTCCAAATGAAACAGAAAGAGAAGCCAGCTTCCAAATGCAACTGTTTCAGTGAGGACAATACTGAGATTCCTCAAACAGGATGAAAATCCAAGCATCACAGCCCCTGGTTGTTGTCTTTGTTACAGACACCCAAGGAAAATGAGTCCTGCAAAGTGTTTTGCAGGTTTATGTGGGGAAAAAAGCAGGAACAATATTTACTAACAAATCTGTGTTTCTTCAGCACTGATCCTGCCAGAAACCATTGGCAAACGGTATAAACATTGAGCTGGGAAGGGCTGATCATGAATAAGGTTACTTGTGAAAGGGAGTTTCAAGGAGCAAGTCTGTTAGCAGGTAAGCCAGAGTATTTTAGGTGGAAACATTCTTGTCTTTAATTAAAGATTGTTCATTTACTCCCTTAAATGTGGACTTTTATATTTGGGTCAAAATTTATGCCAAGTTTTAATAACTTTTACTAAACGAGTGCTGTTATTTACTAAAATATAGCCCATGGTAAATGTCCCTAATGTTTAAATTCAAAAGGAACTTTCTAGGTTCTTCCTTCCTGTTGACTTGCTCTTGTGTCTAAAGGTCTCTACCACCTTTATTTTAACCTGAGATTTGTCAAGGCAGGAACAGAACCTTCATAACATCTGCCATTCAGATGATGGCAGGCAAAGAATAGCCTCCAGCTGCCAGTAAATCAAATGCAGTTGCATCAGGGTTGATGTTGCTTGAAATTCTTGCATCAGTGCTCAAGAGCCAGAAAGAAAAAGAAAAAAGCAAAAAAGGGGTTGGGGAAAGAGAGGAGAAAAGATGTGCTGCTGATCTGTGTGAGAACAGGTCACTTCCCTGCCCCTCCTTGGCAGGACTGATCTAGAAGCTATTTTGGGGTGAAATGAAGAATACTTACTTGTCATAGAATCATAGAGTGGTTGGAAAAGACCTCAAAGCTCATCTTGTTCCACCCCCCGCCCTGGGCAGGGACACCTTCCACTGTCCCAGGTTGCTCCCAACCCCAATGTCCAGCCTGGCCCTGGACACTTCCAGGGATCCAGGGGCAGCCACAGCTGCTCTGGGCACCCTGTGCCAGCCCTGCCCACCCTGCCAGGGAACAATTCCTGCCCAATATCCCATCCAGCCCTGCCCTCTGGCAGTTTAAAGTCACTGCCCCTGTCCTGTCACTCCCTGTCTTTGTCCAAAGTCCCTCTCCAGCTCTCTTGGAGCCCCTTTAGGCCCTGGAAGGGGCTCTAAGTTCTCCCTGGAGCCTTCTCTTCTGCAGACTGAACAATTCCTACTCTCTCATCCTGTCTCCATAGGACAAGAAGCCTTTTCACTACTCCTTCACTCTAAGCATTGAGTGAAAGGCAATGGAAGCCCAGCAGCCTCTCCACCAGCAGAAGGTTCCCTTTAGGAGCCATTTTCAGTTGCACACATTCAAATTCACTGCACTTTATTAATGACTGGAGAAAGAAATGGCCAAATCCACATAAATAAATAAAACTGAATGGCTGCCATGATGTGCACTAATTTGGGTGGTTCTGTGTTGCTGTCTCTCTGTGTACAGTCACTGGAGTGAAAAGGAGATATTTTAAGTCAGAAACTGAGTATCTATGGCAGACAATTTGGGTACAGGGAAGAGCAAATCTCTCTGCTAAGGGGCTGGGGGAGAAAAAGCCATCATCTGAAAAGATGAATATTTGAAAATGCCAACTGCTACAGCCACTGCAGGCTTATTTACCAGCACTCTGAGCCTGGCTGGAATCGATCTGTGGGGATAGGTTTGCTGAAAAGGAAACAAAAACAAATGGGGCTTCTGCTTCTGGGATGACACTGCTCAGTTGTCAGGAACAGCTGGTTATGTTTCCCTTGGCAGGGGCAGCAGGAGATGCTTTAAACACAGACCCAGAGCCTGTGGCTGTAAGAAGTGAAATACCTGTGTGGCATTTCACTTGGATTCCTGGTGCAGGAACTAAAACAATGTTAATTGTAGAGAACTGGTTTATTCAGCACAAAGTCACACAAGGAATTCGAGTTTTGGAGAGCAGAAAGCACTTACAAGAAAGCTCAGAAATAAACTTTCTAAATTTACTTTGCTCTCTATGAACTTGTCATTTGTGCCTTCAGGTACCAAGTTCTACTTTCCCCTCATCACTGTTCCTAGTCCATTGGTGGGGAAGAGCAATATCTCTGCAGAAGGACTGTGCACTTGTTCAAGCTTCCTTCAGCACACGGAGGCAGAACAAGAGCAGCCTAGAAGTGGTTTTACTGACATACCTGTTCCTGTCCAAGTTTGTTTTACTCCTTTAAATAGTCCCAGTTTAAAGGCAGAATGGTCAGAAGCCAGGCCTAAGGCACTTCTGTCATTGGAAGTTTGTTGTATTAGGATGCTGCTACCAATGCACAGTGTAGCTTTTCCTATGGGATTAATCCCTAAGGTGAGGAATGCACAGGGTTATACTGGTGTAACTGTGCTCATACTGGACAGAGCAACAGTAAAAAAAAAAAAAATTAAAAAATTAAAAATTACACTTCTGAAAGCTCATTAGCAAAGAGCCCGAACCTGAACCCAGGATCTGAGCCTGGAATGAAGACTGGGGTGACAAGGAAAGGTCACTGTGGAGAGCCCTGGCTGTGAGCTGAGCTGAGCTTTGGCTTTGAGCAAGGATGTAGCCTTGAGTAATTCTGCGATCCTAAGACCTCAAGTAATTCCCACTTGTGTTTGCTTGTATTTTTACTGGCTGTCTTTTACACTTCTGCCTCTCAGATTACTAAGGCTGGTGACAAGGAAATATGGGAATAGCCACCCAATCAAATTAAAAAACATTAGAAAGGTCAAGCACATACAGGTTGCTTTCACACCATGAGTGGGAATCAGATTTCCTGGTATCTCAGTAAAAGTGCTAGATAGTGTTAACCAGATAAGGAAATGGGAGCCTGGAAGCCTAAAACCAGGACTAATTTGCTAGGGGATCTCTTTTCAAGGAAAAGTGGTGGTTGGATTTCTTTGACATTTCTACCCTGTGGATGAAAACAGCCTGACTGTGCTTTTGTGTCTTTCCCTGCCCACTGTGGTCCTGGTACCACAGGGATGAGAGTTTCTACAGACCTGCTGATGGTGTAGGAAGTTGGAAGAGGAGCAGTAAATAAATGCAATATTTGTCCTGGAAAAATATTACCTGTAAATGGCTTTATCTGGGAGGGAATCGAGGTGCTGGAGCCTCATCTCACAGCTGAAGCCCTGACAGAGGGCACCTCGATGGTCCCTTCCACACATAACTGAATCTCCAGCAGCCTGTAGACATGATGTCCATATAGTTTTATACTTAGACTTTCCCTTTTTGGGAAAAGGGCTGATAAAGAGTTCTAACTACCAGAACCATCTAATGAAAACTGCACAGAGCAGCATGTCCTCAGTAGACAGAGACCTTCTCCTCTTGATGCACCACCTAAGGAAACTTTCAAACATGGATTTTTGGAGACACAATTGGAAGTTTAGACATTTTGAGGTATAGACATCCTGGGAGAGTTCTGCTACCAGGCAAGACCAACTTTGTCTTTGCTTGACCAGATGGGCAGCAACCACCATACACTGGGAAACATCCTGCTCTGCTTTTCTGGCTGATCTGTTTTAGATTTGTAATGACCATGGGCTGTTTCTCAAAGCTCTTGCTTCCACTTTATCCCAGGGTCAGTGGCTCATTCAGGATTTTGAAGACTGTTGCACAGGAGCAGGCTTCATTTTTGAAGATAGTGTCTCCTGAAATAATGAGTAAATAAACCCTGTCACCTTGACAGGCTAACATTTCCATCTCCCCCTTCATTATTTATTTATGTATGGTTCCTGAAACCTATTTCCCAAATTCTCCACCCTCACCCTCCTTCCCCTACTTTGTCTTAATGAATTGAGGATTGAATTCTGGAGCACACACTTGAGTCAGAGATGATAAAGCACCCAGTCTTTTGGCAGTCCTGTAAATGCTACAGTGGCTTCCAAAGAGTTAATTCATTATGGTCCATTGTCCAGTCAACTTTATAGCTAGCAGCAGATTGGAGCCAACTTGAAATGCTGAAGTGGGAATGAAAAATGAGCAGAGCCTTGGTGTGCATTAAATATTTAATATTCTCTCAGTGGGAGGTGTCAGGAAAAGGACCATATAATAAATACTACAAGAGACAATTCCATCACTGAACTCGTCTGTTAATGACCTCATTTGCTTTGACAGAAACATTACAGATGCAGACTTTTCGCTTCTGTGGCCCTAATAAGCAACCACATTCCAGTTGGAAAGCAAATTCCTGCTCCTGCAATGCAGAGGAGTGGGCTGGAGCTATGATTGTCTCCT